CCATAGGAATTCTCTCTTCCAGGCTTCGAAATATTTCCTGTTCTCATTTTATGATTTTTTCACTCTTTTTCGTGATGATTCCTTTACATTTTGCTTTCCCCTTCATTATCAGTACGTTCGGAATCCCCTTCTTCCTCCAAAGTTCTCAAATTCTTTTCAAACATGCTTTAATTGTTCATGGTGATAAATCGTCTAGCCTGCAAGAAAAATAAGGAAGATGTTAATTATTTTGAAAATAAAATAATCAGGCTATTTCACCAGATTTCAAAAACTTGGTGGCGAATTTCACCGTCTGGAAATGCTAGTACCCATATCGAAATTTTGCTTTATTTATACAAATTGTTTCTTTATAAACTAACTCATCTAAAGTACTATTCCTTATTTTAACAATCTCTTGTTGGTTGATATTTAAATCCTGGAGACACTGCGCCAATTTGTAATGGGCAATTACAGTCTTGGCCAAAATGTTTGCATATTTTCTAACAAGTAACATCATTCTTATTAAGATGGAATGCAAATACACTTAGCACTGTAAACTGAGAAATGCATATTATATTAAACATCTAGATATGTAATGTGTATAACGAGATAGGTTCTATGAACAACAAACAATTTTATCAGACACCTGTAGAAAGATATGTAATTCAGCATTTCACCTATCATAACGAAACTTTACCAAAACATGTATAATGATAAATATAACATCAAATTATTACAAATGGCGTCTGTAACCTTATATCCGTTCACATTGAACATTCAGTACTTGGTTGGTCCTCCTTGTACTCTAATAACCTCCTCAAAGTGACATGGCAAGCTGTCGATGAGGTTGTTGATGTAAACTACAGTGATCTCATCCCAACTTGTCACTAAAAGACACCGCAACTCAGCTATAATAGCTGGTTTAGTGTCGTAGTTAGCAATTTTCCAGCTCAATTCTACTGAACAGTTCTCAATGGGATTATAACCTAGAGACTTTGCTGTCCATGGCAATTTTGTAACATCCTCCTGGTTGAGATTATCCTGTACAATATGCACACATATATTAACGGAGAATATAAACACTGTGAAAAAAAGGGAAGCTCGAGATAATGAAGATCACTAACCTAAACTACAAATGAGTATAGTTCAAGATGTGGCATCCAGGGTGATGAGGAACAAGTAATGTGGTTCAACACTCAATTGAAAGAAAATCTGGCATAAGATACGACTTTTGAACACAATTATTCAGTGCAGGAAAACCCCATTGCAAAATATCACTCCACACAGCTTGAAAACGAAAATGTCCTGGGCACAGAGAGAGTCTCATTATTCCTACAAGAGATCTTGTTATGTCAGAAATGAAAAATACCAGAAGTCAGAAAAAATTACTATACTTGATACTTCCACAGTCTCTACATTCCAAAACACACCATCATCTCCATTACCTTCTAACAACTGGACACTTAGTTGTTAAAAAGACACTGTAGATAGTAAACGAATGAAACTGGTGTATTTAAGTGTTTTACACTCACAAAAAAGCAACCTATCATTCTATAGGTATTTGAAGAACTTGTAATATTTCGCTACAAT